TATGGGACCAAGCTATCTTGCTGCATCTGCTGTGAGGCGTCAGTGTCTTCGACTGTATGAAGACAACTGTACCACTTCAAGAGGAAGTTCTGAGTCATCTCCTGAACCAGAAGCAGTATAGCTGCATCCATATAACATACATTGGAAGCAATTTAGTCACTCTTACATGGTGAGTGTGATGTATGATGCACCATGGCACAGCTAATCCACTTCACTGGGCTAAATACACATAGCTACTTGTCCCACCCTTGATGGTGTGGGACAAGGGATGATGTGATTACCTCACTTTCCCCATGCAATCAGACCTGTGCCATAGGTCTGGCTAGATGGGGAAAAGCCCTTCCTCACTCAGCCAGACCCTCTCCTCTGCAAGTGGGGGGGCAGGTCTGGCTAAGCAGGGAACCCTGACTGCCCCACTTCGGGAGAGGCATCTTGAGATCCTACATTGCAGGAAAGCACGCGGGTGCTCTGGCAGCTTGAAGGCCCTTAGAGCACCTGCCAAGGGTGGCAGGAGAGCGCAAGCAGAGCTAATAGAGTTAGTAGATGTCCGCTACAAGAAAGTGGCAGAATCTATTACCACCTTTCGTTGCACTACTCATTTTCCTTTTACATGGTGAAACAAAGGGTAGTAATGTCTATTTGCTAAGCATTTGTGCTTCCACAAATATTTTTATGGCCACACAAATGAGACATCAGGCTAGCGACCTAGAAGTGGTGCAGACTGCTTTCACTTCCAGCAGCCTGTGGAGAATTTGGGACTGTCCCCCAGATTTGTCTCCCCGAAAGTTGGTTGTCTCCATGGGCAGATCTAGGATTTAAAAAAAGAGGTGTGCAGATGGTGTGGCTCGTCATCATATATAACACAACACATATTTTCTCTAGTTAAAGATGGGGCTAGAATGATATTGAAGATCAAAGCAAAAAATAAATATAACTATAGGAATGTGCACTAATTTGCTAGATTATATATAAAGTTTAAAAAACACAAAACAAACTAGGCAAAATAGTCAAAAGAGATTGTGTCATTAGTCCTGTAGTCACCATAGTTGAATGTATATTTCTTAGTCAGATTCATAAAACAAAATCTAGCCTTCCTGAGCATTTTGAGAGTGCCTCCAATGCTTCACTGTCGGTCATTTTTACACCTGAGTTAATATTACAAAGCAGAGTTAAAGTTTTTATCTAGAACTTCAAACAGCCGGCAGGACTGTGAAATAGAAGAGAGACATTACCAGGAATCGATAACAGAGAGTAAAATTTCAGAAGAAAGTATAGTTTGAATAGTGGAACATCAAGACCACTAAAAAGGATAGAGGGTCTTCAACACCTGTGGAGTAGAGCGAGATAAGCAGTAATCAGGTAGGTGATAATGAGCCATGAGGTCAATTGCCTCTCAGAAATGCCACTGCACTGTTCAGGCACTTGGTATTAAAGTTTGTGTGGAGCCAGAAACAAAGGGGAGAGAAACAAAGGGGAGGGAGCGCAACTGCACTACTGCACCCCCCACCCCTTGGATCTACCCTAGGTTGCCTAATACTGAAGTCATTGGGTCTTTCTTGTACCAGCATGCTCATTTGCAAATGTTAAAACTTACTGGGGAGCATATTTTGCAAACTAAGTTTCCTTTGCATTTGTGTAAGTGACAGAATCTGCAAGGGAGAGATCTGTAAGCACTGATCTTTGGAAATGTAGGTTGTAGCCGTGTTGGTCTGAGGACATAGGCAGACAAGGTTCTTTGTGTGAATCCAATATCTTTTATTAGACCAACTCAAATACAGTAAAATCTCTGGTAACTGGCATCTTACAAGCAAGCACATTCTGTTAACTGGCATGCCGGCTTGTAAGTAAAAGTGAAGTTGGAAGTGCCCACCATGGCCCTTCTGGTTCCTCTGAGCCCCACTGGCCTGGGGCAAAGCATCCTGCGCTGCCGAGCCCCCACGGCCCAGGGTCATAACAGGCTGTGCAGGGCCTACCTCCCTGTCCCGAAGGAAGGGCAGCAGTGCTGCAGGAGGGGCGGTGATGCCCCAGACACGGCGGGAGAAGCGGCAGCCCGAACAGACAAGCACGCCTGTTCAGGCCACTCAATTAATAGGCATATTTTGTTATCCGGCATCCCCCATTCCTGGGGAATGCCAGATAACAGAGCTTTTACTGTAGTTAGAAAAAAAAATCTTCTTAGCAAGCTTTCGGGCATGTCATGGGATCGGGTCCTCAAGGGTGGCCGTGTTCTCCTAAAGCCCCTCGACCATGCCAATTTGGCCCGCTGGGCACCCTCAGTTCTCACCCGCCAGATCTTTGATAGAACTATAAATATAGGGAGGCTGCCTTTAAGTCCTCTTGGACATGGTTTGATGGATTCTCTGAACCCCGTGGGTTCCCGGACCCCTTGTGGGTCCCATTTCACAATGGGTGTTTCGGGGGCACCCTAGCCTTATGGACTATATGCGGGGCTCCAACCACCCCTTTACCACGCCCCAAGACTTGCAGATGGTACTGGTGTTGTCTTGCCTAGGCTTCATTATAATTCAGCCCCTTGTCCTCACTGGGCTCTCCACAGCCCTTGTCTCTGCACCCTCTCTGGTGCCAGGCTCTGTGTCCCCCCAAATGCTGCACCCTCTCTGGTGCCAGGGTCCCCACACTGCAGGGGGCCCCCAATGAGGCCTCCTCCTTCCCCAAATAGCCTCACCCAAACCACTGGTCTTATAAAACGGCAAACAAAACATAAGCCCCGGTGCTATAATGTAACACAAGCTACATAAGGTGTGCTTAGCCCCTCTACATTACCCGGAGCAGAACCCAGTTAGACCTCCTCCCTCCACTTACTCCAAGAGGGCTCCTTCTCCCTTGGCCACCAGCAGAAAACTGCCTTTTCTAGATCCAGTCTGGGGTTTATATGGACCCAGGGCCCGCCCCCTCTGGTCAGCTGACCATGTGCAGGTGCAGGCTAATTCGCCCTCTGGGTTGTTACCCTGGTAACCTGCACCTGGGCTTCTGTCTCTCTTTGGGCCATCTCCCAGGCAGTTTCTGCTCTTCTAGGAGCACCTGCGACAGGGCACAGACACCCTTCGTCAGCCTGAGGAAGCATTTTTGGAAATAACATATAACATTCTGCTTTCATTCATGCACAGTAAAAGGAGATACATGCACATAACTGAAAATAAGATTTAGCTCACTGCTTAGGAACTTTTTGACTCAGAACCATTAAAGTCTCTTCATAAAGAACGCAGCTGGCAAATAAATATTCAATATCTAAAATTCTGTAGGCATAGTATTCTTCTGAGTGTGTATTAATTGACTGATAAGTGAAAGAAATCAAAACATAAGGAGATACAGGATGAAACATATTCAAACAAAATGTTAAGAGTGGAAGCCAATAGTAGGAATGTAAAAGTACCATTTTTAGCTAGAAAAGTTTACATCACACTGTGATATCGTTCATATTTATTGGACAGTTGCCCTTACCTAATTAACAAGAAACATTAACAAGTCACCAAAGTAATAATAAAATTGTAACTGGCACATGAACTTACTGATCATTTATATTTCAATAGAGAAAATCTAAATAAGTTTTGCAGTAGCCTTGCGGTATTTTAGACATGTGACTACCCTCTAGTGGAATTTGTTTGTTTTACATTCAAGCTCAAGAAAAGCTGGTTTATCCTTCTCCCGTGTTGCAGAAATGTGTGTACTGTGTGTGCTTTTTCAGTCTTAGCTGTATCTTGCTGTCCTGTATCTCCATTCACTGCATAGGTCTCATGCCTTGCTCAACTAAGCCCAGTGAAAAATATTCAAGATAGATAAACTAAGGTATGTTTTAAGTGTTATATAAGGTTAGTCTCAGCTCCTGATGTAATCAATAGTAAAAATTAGACTGAACTGTCACAGGGCAGAAGATGGCTCTCCTGGGGGCAGCTGTGACCGAGTGAATGTAGAAACCAAGGGAAAATATTGCCACTTTGTTCTGTCAAGGGAGAGCAGATTTAAATTCAGTGTTAAGTGCTCATGGGCATGCTCATATAGTGATATATGCATGAGACAAGGATTTTTTAGTGTGATATCTTTTATTGGATCAAAGGTGTCTAATAAAGAAGCTTCCAAATGCAAGACATTCTTCACCTTATGAAGAATGCCTTGCATTTGAAAGTTTGTCTAGCTCTATCCCAACTACATAGTTTGTTCAATAAAAGATATCACCTTAAGAAATCTTTGCCGCTTGCATAATTTCTGGACCTTCACATCTAAAGCATTACTCTTATACTACTGTTATGCTATATGTGAGGCAGCTTATACAGCCAGTGGAAAAGCAACTTTGCATTGTGTGACAGGTAAGAGTATACCCATGGGCAGTTACTGTGGACTATCTGATGAGATGTAAATGCATATCCTAGCTTACTCTCTGGTAAGTTGCTTATGTGCCCATAATGTAAATGACATGCAGGAGTATCAGCAGGAGTCACATAGAGGGAACTGAAAATAACTGAAAAGGAAAAAATAAAACACCACAAGGCTTGGTAAAAGCCTCTGTGATTATATGTGCAAAGATTGCATTAGGCCTTTCTGCCATAGCATCACACTAGGTTGCTTGTCTATAATAACCCTGAAATGCTTTTCAGAGTCACTGCTTTCCAGGTTACATCTTGCATTCTGTGGGTATGGGCAGCATTCCTTGTTCCTAGATATATAACTTTCCATGTGGATGTATTAAAATTGACATAATTAGGATAAATGGGGTGGGACAGAATTTTTTCAAATGAAAATTTTACCTGCTGAAATATGGATTTCAAAAAGTGCTGAATTTAATCCAGGAAAAGGATGAAATTTATGGAAAATGCTAACCAAAATATTTAATTTAAAAACAACATTTTGAAATATTGAAAAAGATATTCTGAATTGGAATGTTTTGTTTACATTGGGAATCAAAATGGTTTATTCCCACTTTTTACAATCACTATTTTTTATTACTTTTTGATTCAAGAAAGAGTCTGATATTTCTTGTTTTTATTGTGTTTTGGGATGGAATCACATAACCAAATGTCGGTATTTCCATTTCCAATTAGGTTGGTGTAATACAATGTGCCTGACATTTCAGTATGTTCACAATCTGGTAGCATTTATTTTTTATTAACTACTGGTCTCTTTTCTCTCGTTGCTCTTCTTCATTGCAGCACAGCTATGAGAGGAAGTCTGGCCTTACCTTTGGAATCCCAGAGCTTCTCTTAATTTTTCCCCTTGAGCTCTGTCTCGTTCACCTCCCCCCACAACTCCACTTCCATATCTCCCTGTCCCAATTACATTCTTGTTCTCTCCCAATGCACTGGCAAGATTTACTGGTAAGCTCAGAGGTCAAGGCTGGGTTGAGACCCATGATCATCCCTCTCACAGTGTGAGGTCCTTTTCTTTATCCTTTCTCGTGGATCCCATTAACCAATCTAGAAGTAAGGAGTTAAGTAAAACATTTGTTAGTGTTGTGTGTCTTCTCAGATAAGACTGACAGCATGAGAAAAGCATAACAAACAGCATGAAAGCTAGCTCTTATGTTTCTGGTACATAATACTTTTCAGTCTTTATGACTGCCTGTATAAGATGCACCATCATACTTAGGGATGACATTTATTTATACACATTCGATTTGCATGGTACCAATGAAATGCTGGAGTGTGGCTCTTCTGTTCTTTTTCATTCATACTTTGCTTTGGGAATACAAAGCAAGTACCAGTATTGGCACTGTTGCAAGGAGTCCTGTGGGACGTTGGCTAAGGTGGTAGAACAGGCATCAGAGGACATGAGTTTCAGTCCAGTTTTGTCTCTGACTTTTTGAGCAGTTCACTATTTATCTCTCATCTCAGTTTCCTCATCTTGCAAATGGGGTAATGATCCTGGCAGCCTTTGTAAAGTGATAGGAAAGCTAATGATGGAAAGTGTTACATAGAAATCAGGTACTATTGCAACAAACAAGATCTTACCTAAATGCCAGTTGGCACCATAATATGGCTAACACACTGGGCAAACATGTGCTTTCCTTATGTCAGCTGCTCTAAGGATATTTCTTACTGTAAAGTTAACTCAGATGATCAGCACCCTTGTCTGAGCACCTGAATTAGCAAAACTAACTCAAGTCACTGTGTCCACAGAGATGCTGTACCTGTCTATGTGTTACTAGGACTCCTAGATCTTTGTGCTACAGTAAGCTAAGCTCAGTGAAATGTGAGAGAACATATTTTTCTTTCTGGGAACAAAGTGGGGAATTGTGGGAAGGCATTGTATGATTATCTTAGTCTATGTTCTCAGGCAAAATGGGCTACCAGTTCAAATACAAGTGGCATCACAGCTCTATGCTTTCAAATGGGCCGGATAGGTTAAAAACAGCACCACATCCTGGTGAAAGGGTTTTTATGGGGTTAGGGGCAAAACTCAAGACCCAAAGTTATCTCCATACTGAAGATATATTTTAAGAAGAGGGATGCAGTCTGATTCTCCAATACATCAGTATAAACTAGGAGTATCTAAGTGAAGTCAATGGAGCTGACTGGTGTAAAACTAATGCAAGGAAAACACAGACCCTGAAATACTGGTACATTATTTTCCAAGAATATTCCAATAGCAACTCACCTGTCCACAGCTCCTCCCTGCCTCTTCATAGCCAGTACAACACACAACATAGGTAATCATCAGTAGTATTTCCCTGACTCTTCACAAAGCCAGTCCTTCAGTCCCAGTTAGGAAATGTCTGCAGGAAGCCTGGGTAACACAGGTAAAATTACACCCATCATTTCGCAAATGGGATCCACCATTCTTGCCCTCACCTCTTTTTTATGCATATTTTGGTGCGTGAGGTTTTAGGAAGAAGAGTGGTCAGAAATGTTATTACCATTAGTGCAAACTAATCTTTGCTGAGTGTCTGCTTTGAAAGTGCCCTTGTGAGTGCTATGGAGACTCTTTGTGTGCTGGATTTTGACATGGGAAAAAAACGGTTGTTGAAGAGGGATAAACGAATTATTATGAAACAATGCATAAAAAGTAGAGCAGCAATGCTGAGGTGGTGGTGTGGGATTTCCAGAGCTGAATTTATTTAATGAATAATCAATAATAATCCCAGTTGGACAATACCACCACCATAGAACCATGGAGCAGGTCTTTTCACAACACCAGCCGACAACCTGATTTCCCAAACTTCTTGGGCCACATCTTAACAGAGAAACTAACGTGTGAACATGCCTCTTCTTTCCATGTTCATATACCCTCCTCTCACCCTGTAGTGATGACAATAATTGCTTGATGTGTTGCAACAGCTGGGAACAGAGAGTCCAATAAGCATTAGAGGACCCTCTACTTACCATCACAAAAAGCTCCAGGGATAAAAATCTGAAAACTGCTTGTAAACTAATTTGAACACTGTATAAGAAGGATAAGCAGTAGCATAACTAGAGTGGGCAACTGGGGAAATCACCCCAGGTGTCTACTTTGGGAGGGGGTATATGGGAAGGGGTTGAAAAAACTGCTGCCACTGTAGCTGTGCAATTGCCCCAATGGCCTAGTGACAGCTGAAAGTCACCACTGCCCCCATATGTCACAGCTGCTCTGGGCACCCAGATGTGTTATATGTGAGTACAAATGGCCATTAATTGCACTGAGCAACAACTCATGCAGCAGAAACATTCAGCTTGCCTAGGGTATCTTGCCTCTTCCCAAGCCCTGCCCCTCACCCTCTCACTTCTCTGTCTGAGAAAGAGACTTGGCCCCCGTGGGCCCACAAAGATTTCCCACAAACTGCCAAATACAACTATTTTTCCCTCTGAAAAAATATCAGCAATACCTGAATTCCTGCAGCACAGCAGTAATGACCTTTCCATACAGCTGCAGGTTATCTTCCATCCCATAAAGTCAGCCTTTTAATCATTCAACTAGGTAGCTATTTCCTTTATGGAAATCACAAATGAGCACTGGTACTTTACTGATCTTTCACCACTTTTCTTAGACTAAGGATTAGAAACTCTCCATTAAATCAGGTACTATTACCAGGCTGCTGTATGAGTCAGGCAGTCTGCCTGACTGACTGAGGACCCTTTATAATTTCCTACTGAGAGTAAGTACTGCATCAGTGGTAAAATACGTCTCCTGGAACATCTCTATCAATCATCTTATTTTTTTTGTGTTAGCTGAACTTTCTCCCTTCCTACACAGATCTGACCCAGGGTTTTTATTATATTTCCAAATAAATGATCAGCTGTGGAGCTGTTTCAGGGGCTTACTAGATGAAAAACAGTATCACCCCAGGTGTGTGTGTGTGTGTGTGGGGGGGGGGGGGGGTGGAGATATGGTCTGCAACAGAAAACTTACATGCTGCTGATAATGGATGTCTGCACAGATGCTGGAAACGGTGTGCATGTGGGCAGGGGTAAACAGTATTCATGACTGCTTCAGAAATCATGTAGAAAACAAAAGGATGTGAGATCAGAATGGCTTCAGAATGCATGTCTACATGTGCATTTAAGCACAAAAATTAGTCTACTGTACCCTAATTGATGTGCACGTGTAAACAGTGATGCTTTACTGTGCAGCAAATTAGTCTGTGCACAGTAAAGTGTCTCGTGTAGACACTCCCACTGTGACTAAATTCTGTCAGTATTAGCAATATTAATACTATTGAAGCCTGACATTGGAGTAACCTTGGCCAGACAGAAATGGGCCTGTTTAGAACTTCCCCCACATATTCACCATAATATGAATGTGAAACTTTCTAGTGAGATCCATCAAAAAACCTGGAACACCCCAGACTTAGTTTGCATCCCCAGCAGAAACACATGGAAAAATCTAATTAAAAAATCCCTGAAAGATTAAACCAGAGGGTCGCACGCTCCATAGTTTGGAAAAGCTGCACTCATCCTACACACCAGTTTCCCTCCAGCCCCCTTCCAAGTTCCCCATGTCCCACTTTTCCATGCTTTCTATTTCAGAGACTTTCTGTAGTACCACTACACCCTGATTGTCATATTACCTCCATGCCACTGCCCCATTCTCTTCTTATGCCAAGATTTCTGTGTGTCCCCCCTGTCACCTCTTCCCCCATTCCAAGATATTTCATTCTTTTTCCATGGCAGGGGCTCTGTACAACCGTTCCTCTCTTACCTTACCTGTCCTGTTTTTTTTTTTTACAGGGGTGGAGACTTTATTGTGTCTTTGGAGCATTTCTTGTTGAAACCTGGTTGGCAGGTAGATTTCCACCAAAACTCCTGCATATATTTTGTATAACAGGGAGCCAAGGCCCCGGTCACTATATGAGGGGAGAGCAGTGGCTCTTAAGCTCCATTCTGATGGTGACAGCTAATCTCAGGCTAGCTGCTGAGCAGGCAGCTTGCTGAGTCAAGGAGGGGCACCTAGACTCAATAAGGAGGTATGTCTAGTTGTGGATGGTCCTGCTTTGAGCAGGGGGTTGGACTAGATGACCTCCTGAGGTCCCTTCCAACCTTAATTTTTTATGATTCTATGATGTGACCGGAAAGGGGAATTGCTCTGGGAGATAAAAGTAAGCCCTGAACCAGGCAGTTAGGCCCTGCTTCCCAGACAGAGAGGAGTTCTTGCCTGCAGTAGTGACTGCAGGGAAGCTGGCAGCATAGCCAGGAGTTTGCAGTGTATATAGACCCAAAGTGAGGACACAAGCCTACACTGAAGACTAAGTTTGTGTTTGCATTTTGTGTTTAAGTTACCAAAGGACTGGGCTGTGGCTGTAGAGGTAGTGTAAAGGCTGCAGGAGGGTGCCTGAGGAGCCGTGTGTGTTTGAACCTTTCTTAGACCAAGGCCCATGGGGCAGGGACAGCAAAGGGCCTGAGGCAGAGGACTGGGGAGTCTGCTGGGTCAGTGACAAGAACAGGGGGGAGTTTGCTTGTTGGTGAGGAGGTTGGGGTCTGTGCCAGCACCGTGCTCAGGCTCCTCTAGCCCTGAATTCCCTACACTGTGGTCCAGCCCAGCTCTGGATGGGCAGGGAGCTGCACTTCTTAGTACCAAGTGCTATAGTCTGGGCATAGGAGTAGGGGTCAGTTGGGCACAGGTGTCATGGAGTGGGTTGGCCAAATGCACTCTGGCCTGAGTGGATCCCAAGCTGTTCAGGTCCACAATGGAGTAGGATTGTCTGTGATTTGAAAAAGCCAGGAGCAGAACAGGCCCCCTAAGTACTTTGTCACCAGGCTTTTCCATGCTCAAGCACTCAGGGGGCATGTCCTGCTCCCTGCTTGGCTGTGACTGACAGCCTGTGGAGGAGGGAAGTGGGAGAGGGAGCAAAGCTTGCTAGGATTCTCAAGGACGGCTCTGCGGGTTCTCTCCGATGGATACTTGTATAGATATTTAGTCTCCTGAGAAATATTCTCCCAGGAGCCATTTTGCACAGGTTGTTCCTAAGTTATTTGTCTTCCAGTGCAGGCATTTTTGCTCTGGGAGAAAAAATATGAATGTCTATCTAATTTGGCAGTGACTCTCCCAGGAGAAACTGAACATGTGTATGTAGCCTAGATGGGTGTCTACAAACATTAAGTACTTGGCTGTGTCCTGAATGACAAACTGAAGTTGACTACACAGTCTGGGTCCATTGAACTGAGGCCCCAGATAAGGGCTTTTCTGACCTGTCCAGACAGTACTCCCTTGCTGAGGTACAGAAGTAAAGACTTTATCAACTATGTTGAGTTCTCACGCTCCCTCTTTCTTTGATGCTGTCTTAAAGGGGGAACATAAACTTGTTCACTAGTTTTGGCCTTATTTGGTTTGGTTCCTTTATAATACCAGATCTGTCCAATTTATGAGCATCCAGGGGTCATGTGCCATGTGGGCTGCGTGAGCCATGGCCATGCCTCCCCATGCTGCACTGCATCACAGGTTCCCCCAGCTCTGTAGCCTGCGCCATGCCGCACTGTCCTGCTCTCTGGGGTGGGACAGGAAGAAGAAGCCAGAGGAGGGAGAGGAGCCCAGAACCCACGGCTGCTACCGCAATCAGAGTGACGGAGTAGTGGTGACCGGGTAGAAACCCAGGGGCTGCAAATTAACCCCATCTGGGCTACATGTGGCCTTTAGGCTGTCAGTTGAACAGCCCTGTTTTATACTAATTGAAATGCAGAAGCGGGAACTTGACCAAAAAAGAACTGGAATACAGAAACTTGAGCTGTTTTTTTCTCTCTCATTCTTTGTATGGCCTTTCAGCAGTGCATCATGTTTTCCATGTGATAAGTAATCCCAGTGAAGGTTTTGGCTTGTGACTGTCATGCCAATGTTTCCAGCGGTTAGCAGGAACTAAAGGAAGGTCAGTTGATAGTCATTAAAATCTTCTCAACGGCTCCTCTGAGAAGATATTGCCATGTGGTAAATGGTAAAGGTGTCTTTAAAGTATTATAAAGTATGCAACAAAGAAAATGCAATGAATTGTAAGGCCTTCTGTCAGGTGAAAAAGATACAAAGAATGGACCATCATATGATGGGGGTAGAGCCCAGCAAATCCTGGTTCAGAGCCTAGAATAATTAACTAAGCTTCCATTTGCTTGAAGCTGGATTCACCTTACTTTATGCGAATTTTTTTAAAGAGAACTTTGAAAGCCTACCTTTTCACTATGATTATGAAAGTTTCCATAGCCTTCTAGTGAGAAGCAATTTCCTAAGCTGAATTTTGAATCCCTTCCTAGTGATGTTTACTGGTTCATATTAGATCTTTGCTTCAGAGGTGGCTGTGTTTAGGTGGCACTGTATTTGCATTGATTCCA